AGCAAAAGTTAGTTTTTCTATCACAGGATACCTGATTTCAGCGCCTCTAAGGACTCAGCTTATGTAGTAACTAGATATTGCTTCCTTTGTTCCTCTCTAACGAGCACTAAGCTAACTGCCTCTAGTTCGACTCCCAAATATAGGTTGAGTTCTTCTTTCGGTTTTGGCTTTTGAAGAAGCGATGAAGATGCCAAAGATTTCTTCAGACCCTAGAATGCCTGCTCGCATTCATCAAACCATTTGAAACGCTTTTTTTCCTTAATGCTCTAAAGAAAGCTGCACATTTATCGCTCGATTTCAAAATAAAAAGACAGAGTCCAGTTATTTGGCCAGTCAAGTTCTGAACTTCCTTTGCATTTCGAGGGGATGAAATATCCATCAATGCTTTTTCTTTTTTTAAATTTTATATTATACATTCGGGGGTTAAAAGATAATCGAGGAACTTTCTGGTCGAAGCCCTGAAAGTGCATTTTAGTGGGTTTAATCTCATTTTATATTTTCCAAGAGTTGAAAATCTTTCTTTTAAGTCATTAATGTATTGTTCTTTCAGCTGATTTTTAATTAACACATCATCAATATACACTTCAACCTTTTTCTCTTTATGATTTGAAAATATTACATTCATAAGTCGCTGTTATGTAGCTCCAACATTATTAAGCCCAAAAGACATTACATTAAAACAAAACACACATTCACAAGTAATAAGATAAGTTTTTTCGACATCGTCTGGATGGATTTTAATCTGGTTGTAGCCAGATAATGCATCGAGAAAACTTATTACTGAATAACTGGTCGCCACATCGAGCTGTCGTTCTAGCAAACGTTGTTGAGATTTCTGAAATCCACCCATTCTCCATTTGTCGTTTGATTTTTGAACCATCGCCACATTGGAGACCCAAGTTGAATGCTAGACCTCTCTGATGTAACTGACCTTCAGCTTTGTCACTTCTTTGGCGATTGGTCCTGCCAAGGTTCTGGCGGGCTACTAGATTTTCTGCTGCACCAATTTGGCAGATGAGTTGTTACTCAAGTGGTGGCACACCACATTAATTGGTATCCCGGGCGTTTCCGCTGTTGTCCAAGCAAAATGTCTTGATGTTCGCAAAGAGTTTAGATCAACATGCACATGTATCTTGCATCAAAACGACCACTTATTAGGAAAAACTTATTGGGGTCTTTGGTTGATGTCGGTATCTCCAGGATGGTCTCACTTGTATCGAGACCCCCTTCTCTTCAAATTTCTATATCGAGTGGATCCTGCTCCACGCTGATAACCTATTGGAGATGACATTTTTCAGGATTGCTCTAAATTTCTTTGTACCTTGATGACAGTCTCACCGACTGGAAATTTGACGACTATGTGCTAAGTCAAAACTACCACTTGATAACTATTTTGCAATGGTTGACTGAAAATGGTATTGTATGTTAGCGGTGATTCAACCACCAAAAAGTATTGTACTTTTGAATTGTTTCTTCTGCTCGCCCTAGGAGACATAGGGCAATAATGCCCAGGGTTTCTTTCCGCTAGCCAGAAAAGCCGAATAGTGCATTGGCCGGTGTAGACAACCGGTCGGTTTTAGTTTGATCTTATTGAACACCGTCTTGAACAGAATATTGATAGAACTCCCATTGTCGACAAGAGTACTACCTACCTAGTTGTTGTTAATAAACACAATGACAACGATGACATCGTTATGCAGACTTCCTTTCGGTGGCAAATATGAATCGATAAAGATGATGAGTGGATGACTGTGCTTTTGGGTGGAGCCTATGGAGAATACTTCCCCAATTAGAACCTTTTCAAATTGTTCTAATGGGATAATACCCCCCTCCAATAGTAGGAATGATCCCAGCAATGTGTATGAAATTCGCTCGAACATGATTGTCTAACACCTCCTCCATCGGTGTTTTTCCTTGTCGTTAAGTATGTGCTCCCATGACAACGAACTTCTTCAGCTTTCTGGCAGGAATCAAATCTTTCACTAGATTTGTAAGATGTCGGTGCTCTTCAGTATCGTGGCCTTGATCCCGATGATACTTACAGTATTTGTTGGGGTTCCGGAGGGAAGCTCTGATCCTCATTGGTGTTGACTTCTTGAAATACTTCTTGTTCTGGATGCCCTCCACCAATTAAGCCATTGAGACTCTAAGGGGAGTCATTCCTTGCATCTCTCGGTACAAGTGTGACTGCTCATAGTTTTGAGGCGGTCTTTGGTTAGAGTATCGAGCCTGACCTCTCCGATCGTTAGCTCCACTCTGGTCATCTTTGGGTGTCCAAACCTTCTCATAATTAGAATGACCAGAAGATCTCTGATTGCCTTTCGCCTTCCACCTTTTGCCTTGAGCAACCCTTTTCTTTGAATGACGATCGGATGTTACTGATTTTGGTTCAGAAGAATCAATAACATACTCCTCTTCAGCGATATAATTGTTGGTTATTTCTAATAGTTCAACCAAAGCTTTGGGCTCACACAAACCCAAATCGAACTTGAAGCGAGCTTCTCTCACCTTTTTTGTCAAAGTTGTTTGTGCGATTACCGGTTGCAAGTAGGGCTGTAAACGAGTCGAGCTTAAGCGAGCTCAAGCTTGGCTCGTGTTCGGCTCGTTCGAAATTGCTCGTGTTCGAAATCGGTTCGTGTTCGAAACCGGCTCGTGCACAGTGTGTTTGTGTTTTGCTCGTGTTCGACTCGAAATTGACTCGTTAAAATTAAACTGAAAAAATAGATGTAGAGTGTTGGATTCGAACCTAGATCAAATATATGCAAAACAAGACGCATAACCACATTATCACAAGAAAAGTTACGATTTAAACATAAATATAAATATATATAATATATTATTATATAAATAATATATGTAATATATTATTATATAAATAATTATATAATTTTTTTATTTCGAGCTAAAACGATCCGAACACGAGCGAATAAAGAGATGTTCGTGTTCGGCTCGTTTACTTAAAGAACGAGCCGAACACGAGTTGTTCTCGAACAACGAGTTTTTTGACAACCCTAGTTGCAAGTCCTGTATTTCTAGCATTTACTTTGAAAGCAGGTGATGTAAGAACGAAGGCTTTCGTTCTCATCTGCTTGAGTTGTAGTAGAGCCTAGATTTCTTCTTTGGCTTTTAGACGCTGGCGAAGTGGGCCACAAATACCTTTTTGAACTCAGTAAAATAAGTTTTCACTTTTGGTGATAGTTATTGAACCAATTAAAAGCCGTCTCTTTCAATGTGGTTAGAAACGAACAACACTTCATAGCGTCATTGATCTACAACATTCCAATCGCTGACTCAAATGCAGCCACGTGATCGATCGAATCACTCTTCCCTTTATAGGAGTCCAATTGTGGAGGTTGGAATTTCATTGGTGGCTCGGCTTCTTGAATCTATCGGGAGAACGGACCATTTGGGAATGGTGCTCGGGATGCTTCATCCTGTGCCGGCTGGATCCTCTCCATTATTGTAGACCCAACATCTTTGTATAGGGACTTTTCTAGTTCTTCGGTTGCTAGAATTGCTCTCCGACTGTTAGAAACTGGTGATTCCTCTCGAGGTTGAACCCCATGAGGTTGGTTTCGTGAGACTCCACTTCGAGGAGAGGCGGTTGATCTCGCAATTGAGGGCATTAAATTGGCCAGTCGTTTGGTTCTGTAACTCCTGCATTTGTTGCTGAATTTAATATTGTATAAATTCCCACTTAGATTCCATTGTAGCAGTTTCTCTTCGGCTAGTCTCTACTTGTAGTGCTCTGTTTCTTTTCTCGGGCATGTCCACGTTCACCGTACTATCTTTTAGGATATTAAATCCCAAATTATCTTAGAGTAGACATGCCTGGAGAGATAGAGCTGGAAAGAAAAGTGATACAACGAGATAATATTAATCTCAGAGAAACGAGTGTGTATATTCATAAAATAGCCCCTATTTATAATCATAGGTGTCTTAGGTTTACAATTACATGATTATTCTCCTTCCCTCATCGATTAGAGGGTATTTCTTATCTTTTTCCTATTCTCGGGTGGTTAATATAACTACTTCTCTAATAGAAATAACTGAATGAACCCAACTTTCATGAATAGTCGTGACCATTGGATATAATATATGGTAAGACTCTTGATTTTTATTTCTAGCTATCGGTTTCCTAAACTCTGACCTATTATGTCGGTCGGCCGATTCCATCGATTGTTTACGTTCGATGGGATTATCAATTGTTTGAATGAATGTGCTGAGTTGGTTGGCCGCCTAATGATCCTTCGTGTGAAATTCCAATTGAGAATAGGGGTGTTCCTTCGAACTGCTTGATCCATTTAAGATTCATGCTGATGCTTTTTTTTTTATATACATAAATATATAAAAAACGAACTTGTTCAATTTATTTGATTGATTCTCTATTTTTGAAAGGAATTAGAAAAATTCCTTACAATTATCTATGGGCTAGACAGGACTTTTTAGCATTCCATGTGTCTTTAGTGACTGTGATGCAAAAATGCATGGACCGGACATTCTCTTTCGCGTGTCGTATGAATAGCTCGCACACTTATATTTAGATCTAACATGGTTCTTTTGCACTTTCTGGTGCTCCTTCATACGATGCTTTTGCGTTCTAATGAAGAACCGTAGGCATCATAACAATTAGCAAGGAAGGTATTACTCATCACAACCATCTAAAAGCTTGGTGACTCAATAGTACAACAAGCATGTGTCATAGCTTGAGATTATTCAAAACTATTTTCTGGTTAATTTTGTATGCATATTTTTTTTTTGAAAGCTAAGAAAAATCAAACTCTTCCATCTTATGAATTACATAAGAATCTTACATCATGCGAGATTTTTTTAGTTCACACTATGCTTTTCAGTGAATATTGTATTTCCTTAATCTCTTAATTGTTGTATGCAGAAGTTTCACTCATTTTTTCCTGTATGAATATTTAAGTTCATATCTTCCTATATCGCTATTAAAATGCATGGATTTATATTCCTTTTTTTTTTTTTTTTGGTTGAAGGATCTAGTTTCAAGGTTGCTGCTAGGCTATCTAAGCCTCTTCTTACTGATGATGGAAGAATATATGCATGCTCTGGGAAGAACATATTATTATTTGACAGCAATGGTACTGTTGTCTGGATTATTCCTCTGGGTTATTCATCAAGTGCGGATATTTCTCCCATTATTGATGATAGAGGAAAGGTAGTTACTCGTGCTCACTAATAATAGCGTTTTGAATGAGCATTTATCATATCATACCATACCATCTCTTTTTAAAACTAATACAATTTTTTGGCCATGCTTCTAGGATTAATAGTAGAAATGTTGCACAGTCACTCATGGAGATTAGAGAGCATGGGGAGGGCTATTTGGTTCGATGTATTTAAAATGCATTTATTTTAAAAGTACAAAGTAAAACAAATGAAATGTATTATTCATTCTAGTGGTTATTTACATTCATTTTATTTCACATCAAGCACCTGAAAAAAAAAACAAATTTGTATCCTCATTTCATTGGACACCTTTAATACTTTCAACCAAATAGTTCCTTAATTTATAAAATGTAGAGTAATTGTGAGGATAAAATGACTCTGCATCCAACATTGGGAGCTACACTCTTAACAATCAAGCATACTCTCACGTAAGTGCAAGGCTATGTATGTCAACCCATCCTCTAACCCTGCATTGGTGGGAGCATCATCCACTTGAAATAATATGTGCTATATTTTCAATTATCAAAATTATGACGCCTCTTTTTATTTGTTTGGCGCAGCGATTTTGACATGATTGCAATGTTTAAAATTATCTGACTTACATTAATTTCTGTTCTGTTCAGATCTATTTGATTGCCGAGGACAGGATTTTGAAGATCACACCTTCAAATATTGGCACCTCAAAGCCGACATCGGAAGTATTTTTTGGGCCAAATTCAACAATTGGAGGATCAGGAGAGATTATTGGTTTTTCATTAAGCATATTGTACGCATGTATATTTGTGACTGTTAAGAATCGGGGACTCTTTGCACTCTCATTTCGTGGGGAGTTATTGTGGAGCGCTGGCCCTGTTCTCTATCAGTTTGGTTACCGTCACGGTTGCAAAGAAAACTCGAGGGATTGTTATTTTAGTTCAGCACCTGTTGTTGATCAATGCGAGGGAACCCTCTATGTAAGTCTCTTTCTGCCTCAATTTTCTTTCTTTAGCATGTCTACTTTTTGATTAATTCTTTGAACATTTCATCTTGTCAAAGCAAAGTTAAACTATTTAAAGCTCTTGAATCAATCAACGACAATTATACCTGGAAACAGTTAATTTCATATTTTATAGAATTTTTTGCTATTTTAATTCTTCCAGGTAATGCAATAAAGTAGATTCCTGAATCATAATTTTAAATGATTACATCTTCTACAAGCCATAAACTTGCACTGTAACTTACGTTCTTTTGCTTGAATACACAATCAATGCAAATATTGTGTGTATGTTTCTCCACTATCATAAAATTAAGGGTCCAGTATTTCAGTAATTATAATCACAGATGCGGTTGAACGAGTTCCGATCTTGTGTACTAGCAGATCTTCAACACCGAGGGGCAGCTTTATTCCATATATATGCGGAGTCACCACTATAGATGGGTCCAAGATTTCAGCTCCATTGACAAGTTTATGACAGTTATACCTGGAAATAATGGTCTTCTTTACGTGATATTTCCTAGAAAGGCTTCAGCCATTGCACTTGATGTTTACACTGGAGATATTTCATGGCAATGGAGTTTTGGCCCTCTGAGTACAGAACAGAGCTTGCCAGTGGTGGATTCAAATGGTAACTAACCATTGAGTATTTTCAAAAGTGAAATTTATGATCTTATTGATTTGGTTTTATTTAAAAAGTCAAAAATTTCTGAATTTTTATCCAAATAACTTGTAAGGTTGGCTATCTATTGGTTCACTGGATGGTTATTTGTATTCCTTCTCACCTACTGGTGAAGTTAAGAAGCTTCTTAAGGCAACTGCAATAGGTTCAGTCATCCAAGCTAGTCCAGTTCTAGATTGCTCAGGATTTGCTATCTATGTACTGCAAACAAAGGTGACAGCAAAGTCAAACCATGATATTGGAAACTATACCTACATTTCGGCAATGAATCCAACGGGCCTTGTGCTTACAAATTTGATTCCGGCGACAGGAACTGTTTATTGGACTGGAAATTATCGTAACGTTGCTGCTACTTTTATTTTCTTATTATATTTGTGTGAATTTGATACCATCTTATCTGCATTGGTTTTCAGGCGAACTGACTAATTTACTCTCCAGTAGTGATTTACGCTATTTTACAGTGGATGAGAGGATCTTTCTTGCTTTCCTATCTTCTTCAAGTTGAGTTTTACATCTTTTCCCTTTAATTTAAGCTTCTAGATTTATTCAATAGCCAACCCTTTTCTCTTTTAAAATTCTAAAAATGTTAATTGATACGTAAAATAGGGCATTTCAAACTCATATTTGACAGAAATTGAATAATTATTAATCGTCTTTGATGCAGGAACGGGCAAGTCTTTGCCATGCCACACCATGAGTATAATTCTGTGATCATTAACGCATTCAGTAACTCACACTCTACATTTCTTTTTTATTTATGTTCATTTTATTTACGACACCTTTAACTTTTCACCAGACCAGAAAATTGCTTGGATGTGCGCACAATCAAAGCCCAAGTTTGATAAGATTTACATAGGTAAATGAGAGTGCAGCATATTCTTTAAATGGTTTAGTCGAAAACTAACTTCACCATTGTCCCAGGCAATGAGGAAGCAATCCTGCCTTTCATCTTCTTTCAGCTTGCTGTCTTAGTGCTGCTAGCTTTCTCTGTCCGCTTCTGCTTCATATTTTGGAGGAAGAAAAAGCTGCAAGATCATGGCCTTGTGAGGTTCCTTGACAAAAGAGTAAGTTCAAGGATCGAACATTTCAGCATAGCTTAGATTTCTGGACTCACTGTTTGAATCATTATATAACTGTTATTTTCATTGAACTTTTACATCAAATGGCTGTAATTAACATTTCCTTAGTTTCTTTCTTCGCCGAGCGTTTCAAGAGGACTTTGTTGAGATCCAAAATCCCTTCTTTGAATTTTGGCTTGAATTTCAGAGATCTTTACACCATAAACGGAGAACACTTGGAAGGATGATCTCGAAGATAGAGCAAAGGGCGGTGGAAGACATCGATGTCCATCAAACCCTGGAGCAATTGGGAGAGATGGTTAAGGCAAAGGAAGGAATTGAACGAAAGCTATCATCCTCTTATAGCTTGGGCCGGGACAATGTCATTTCGCGCCAAGGATCCATTTTGCCATTATGTGATGGCAAGGAGAAGAGCCATTCATTCCACAGCACAACGAAAGAGAGTGTAACTATGTTTAACACACTGAGTTCAACTGAAAGTGGAAGCGACAGTGATGATAGCAGTGGAAGAGGAAGTAGGTTGAGCTGGCGAGAAACTGAACAAGAGGAGAAGGGCAAAGCTGTTGTTGTTGCAAGTTCTTCCTCCACAAGTAATTTGGATTCTGAAAATGAAAGTGGGGAGGGATCGGCTTCATCTACGTCTAGCACAAGGTTTTCCATGAATCCTATGATTTCTAAGCATTGGATTGATGGATGGGGAAGTGAGGGCTTGGCAAGGAGGAAATTGTGGCTAAAGAAGACGCTATCTTCAACTAACTAAAATGGGAAGCATTCACTATTCTTATTTTTATTTTATCTGGTATGTGTTCTAACTTCAGTTTAAAATTTTATTATTTACCTGCGTTTTACAGTTAAATCTGTTACTAGAATATGTTGTGGTGCTAAATTTTATCCCAAGTGAAAAAGAAGTATTATGATCGTGCTAAGTCTAGCCCTTGAATGTGCACATGTACTGTGACAGTTCAAGCAATATAGAAAAGTTCACAAGCGGTGATAGAAATTTTCATATGTATGTTTTTTGTTTTTTGAATGAAGTGGTCAAGTCTGTAAAAAGATGGGTTCGTTATTATTATTATTTTGTTGGTTTAAATGTTGCTATATTATTTTATGTTCGGGTCTGGTGAGAATATATTTTCCAAGCTCTCATACAAGATCAGTCTTTTGATGGTCCATGGCTGTCTCACAAGGCAGCCAATTCCTGTCATTGATTATCTAAGGACTTTTTTGCCCTCGACCTAGGCAATAAATTAAGGATGATTTTTTTTTTTTGGGAAATTTAAGGGTCAGTTCCAATATTTCCATTGATAAGTGTTAGAATAGATCCCAACGTAAGGTTTATTGATGCAAAGAGTGGTATAAATACACATTACAGGATCTACTAGTAAGGAAAGAAATAAAAATAGAATAAAGGGAAAAAGGAAAGCAAATAGAAGCAATTAATACATAAATATGCATATTAATATATTTATATTATAATTGTGTCCTTCAAGTTGAAGCATAGATGTTAGTCATATTTTACTTGAATCTAAAATCATCGAACATTAGTTGAGTAAGGTTCTTTATGAGAAAATCTGCCAGCTGACCACTAGATGACACAAATGAAACATACATTTCCCCAGACTCGAGTTTTGCCTTAATGAAGTGACGGTCAACCTCGACATGCTTGATGCAAACTTGCTCAACCGGGTTTTGAGGAATGCTAATAACAACCTTTCTATCATAGAACAATTGTAGAGAAGCGAGACTATCATACGTAATTCTCGAAGCATGGTGCATAACCAGAGATATTCATAAATTCTCAGGGTTATAGATTGAAATTCGGCTTTCGCACTGCTCCGAGGAACTATAGACTGTTTCTTCCTTTTAAACATGACTAAGTTTCCCCACACAAATGAGCAGTACCCCGAGGTAGATCATCGATCATGGACGAACTCAACCCAATCCGCGTCTGTGTAAACTGCAATAGAATGGGAGGTGTGTTGGGAAAAAAACAAACCTGAGGTCGACGTACCTTTTAAAAAGTAAAGAATCTGGTGGATAGCTTGGTGGGGAAAAAAACAAACCTGAGGCCAGTGTATCTTTTAAAAAGTGGAGAATCTGGTGGATACCTTGTTTACAGGAACTGCATTGGGAACATCAAGAAGTTTTTCATTAGTGTCCATCGGGACAACTACTGATTTGGACAGAAGAAGATTTTTCTCTGTCAAAAGGTCAATAACTTATTTTCGCTAGAGGCAAATACCCTGAGTTGACCAAGCTTCCATGCCTACGAAGTAGCAGAGAGATCCCAAGTCCTTAATTTCAAAGGAAGCAATAAGAATGTCTTTCAGAGACTCCAATGCTCGTAGATTATTACTTGTGAGAACAATATCATCAACATGAACGATAAGGATAGCCACCTAGTCCTTGGAGGAATGTCGGAAGAAAGTGTGGTTCGATTGAGTCTGAGTGAATCCATGAACCACCATCACCTTCGTGAATTTCTCGAACCATGCCCGTGATGGCTTGTTTAATCCATAGAGGGTTTTTCACAGTCTACATAATTGCCCCTACGATGCAAAGTTTGGAGGAAGAGTCATGTACACCTCTTTTGTAAGATGGTCATTTAGGAACGCATTCTTGATATCAAGCTGGAATAAGGGTCAATTCATATTCACTGCAAGGGACAAGACGACCCGAATTGTGTTTTTTTAGCAACTAAAGAAAATTTCTCTTCATAGTGAACTTCGTAGGTTTGTGAATACCATTTAACGACCAATCGTACCTTGTTGAGGTCAAAGGATCCATCGTATTTAAACTTGATGCTAAAAATCTATCGACATCGCACTGCTTTCTTGCCCTGAGGGAAGATTAAAAATATCCCAAGTATGGTTCCACTGAAGGGCATTCATCTCCTCCATGATGACGGCTTTCCAGGTTGGGTTTGCTAAGAGAGCCTCAATGGTAGATGGAAGCTGATGATTGCTCAGGACCGTAGCAAATGCTTTGTAGGTTGGCGACAATTTGCTGAGAGAGACATAGTTTGTCATGAGATAGAGAGCATGTTTGATTGTGTACCTAACTGGAGGAACTAACTTCCTCATTTGGAGTGAGGCTGTGTTGGGGATGTTGTCTATAGGGGATTCAATGTTCAACAAGGGGTTAACGAGCTCCAAAGTGCATTAGAACGAGTGTGTTGAGTGTAGGCAAAGAGAGTCGGAGGATGTGCTAATGGAACAAGAGGGACAAATGGCTCCTTAATTGTAGGAAAAGTGGGTGGAACCAAAGAAACAGAGGGTTCCTTAATAGTAGGTGATGGTGGGGTAACATCCTCAGGAGTAGGGTACGAAATAGTGTCTATGAACTCTAGCTCACCCTCACTGGAGGTCGAGTTAAAAAATTAGGAATACTTTAAAAAAAGGGGACATTAACACTCACATAGACCTTATTTGTGGTAGGGTCAAGACATTGATACCCCTTTTGAGTGGCAGAGTATCTGAGAAAAACATATTTTATGGACTTGAGATTAAGTTTACTCCGAGTTGGGGTCATGCTTCAAATAAAGGTTGTGCATTCAAAATTTTGGGATCTAAAGTGGAGAAGACCCTATTGTTAAGAAAGCACGATCTCAAGACGATTATAGGGGTATGGAAGTTATGAATCTTTAAGGGAACTTTATTGATGAGATATGTGACAGTAAGGATAACACATTCCATAAATATTTCACGACATTAGAGTGAGACATAATGGAGCGAGTAATGTCGAGGAGATGCCATTTTTTCCTCTAGATACCCCATTTTTTTAGGAGTTTTGGTGCACGAGCTATGATGGAGAATGTCCTTACTTATCAAGAATTCTCTTAATATAAAGTTAAAAAATTCAATACTATTGTCAGTCCGAAGAACTTGAATAAGAGTTTTGAATTGGGTGAAAATGAAGGTGTATAAGCTTTTGAAAGCAACAATAGCTTCAAAGTTATCATTTAAAATATTGACCCACGTCATCTGAGTGTAGCCATCAATCAAAGTAAGGAATCACTATTTATAGGTGTAGCTAGGAGTGCGAGATGATCCCCATAAGTCACTGTGAATAAGAAAGAAAAAACAAAAGGTGTGCAATTGTGGGGTGGATATGAAACACGATGTTGTTTAGCTGACTGACATGTTTCACATTTAAAATTAGAAGGATTTTAATTAGTAAAAATCAATGGATACAATTATTTTAGATGTCATAAGCTAGGATGACCCAAACAACAATATAATAACATAATAAGAATTTCAGTGGACTGAGATAAACTGCAACTGCTGGGTGGAGGGTCTTTGTTCTCTGTGCTTTTCTCTTGAAAGAAGTAGAGTCTGCCTACTCGCTTAGCAGTTCTAATTATCTTCCCTGAACGACGATCCTAAAAGATATAGACATCAGAAGAAAAATGAGCAATACAGTTAATGTCATATGTTAACTTACTAATAAATAAAATGTTACACTTCAACAGAAATATATGTAACACAGATTCTAGAGTTAGACCTACAGTTAAAACAACAGATCATTTACCAGTGATGGAACTTTGAGACCCATCGACAATTTAATAATATCTTTCCCTGAGTAAGGATACTATACTGAGAAGGCTTGAGAGCTTCTAGTCATGTGGTCAGTGACACCTGAATCAATGATCCATGGACTACAAGGGATAAAAGAAATGAGTGTCATAGGATTGATATCTTGATAAGCGTGGGAGGTCGATGAGCTGGAAGAGAGCGGACTAGATCCAAGTAGTTTTATTAAGTGACCCATTTGAATTTTACGAGTTTTTGAGGATTCTATATTTCTCTAGATAGGTTGTACCATGTTGAATCCATATGTCATAACGAGACTCTTAGTGGCGGAAGATTTGGCCGAAGGTTTGGATGCATATTTCCAGTGGAGCTTCCAACACTTATCACTAGTGTGGTTGGGTTTGTGACAGAAATCATGAGTGGGGTTACCAGCCTTGCGTTGAGCACTATTAAAGACCAAGACGCATGTTTTGACAGACATAGTGGAAGTACCAAACATGACAAGTCTCCGACTCTCTTCACAACAAATCTCAGTGAAACCAGCACAGATAAAACAAAGAGGGTCCAGGCTATGGCCTCAGACTTTATCGAGGTTTTTGTTAAGGCCTGCCATAATGTTGAACATGCAGTCCTTTTCTTCAATTTTTTGAAAAAGAAGCAGGTTGGTCTGAGATTCCTAAATATAGTCATAATATATGTCGCATTCCATCCATAATGCAACTAGATCATTATAGTACTAAGTCACTATCATGGATCCTTGTTTTGCCTCACGGATTTTCTTAGACTCCTCATAGAGTTTGTTGGAATTCCCTATATCAGAGTAGGTATCACAGACTGTCATCTAGAGGATACAAGTGAAAGGAAGGAACATATATGATCGGCCAATCAAAGTCTCCATGGTGTTGATCAACATGACATGACCATGAAATTCCCCACTTCACAAACTTTATACGCTGAGCCAGTCTTTGGAGGTTCATGAATCATACGAGTGAGATGGCCGAATTTCTCACACTTTTATTAAACAAATATACAGAGTGAGACCTTTAGAGAAAGTTACCGTTGTTTAGCTTATGAGTTGGGATCAAGAAGTTCATGCTATTTTCATGTCCTCTGTTCTACAGAGCAATGAAAGTTGGAATTGATCCTTCGGTGGAATCAAGAACACCTCATGATGGCTTAATGTTGGAGGAGTCTGTCATGGTTTCGATTGAGCCAAACGAGATGATAGCTTATTAAGACATCGTAAGGTTCCGACTGTTGGAGGGAAGGTATATGGCCTCGGGAAGGGAGTTATGCTGGAAGAGATCTTTTGGTCGGCTGGAAGAAGGTTCCAACGATTAGATCACATATTTTGGAGAGGCATTGGTCAAGTGGGAGGTTGACCAGACCTAGATAGGGATGATCTGGGCAGCTGGGAAAAACTGAAACTAAAGACGGGTCCTTCTTTAGAGGCAAGAACCAAGCCAAATTTGATCAGGTTGCTTAGGAACCTCAGGGTAGTTGCTCAAGAACTTGGAGG